GGGTGGCCCCAAGATGCTGAGGGGGAGCGAGACTCTGCCAGGGGCCCCTGCACTCGAGGCAGAAGCATTACCCCCCACTCCAAGGCGCCAGGCGGCCCCACGCGGCTCTGCCCTCCGCCCCACCTCCAGCACCCCCCCTTACTGCCAGAGGCCGCAGGTGCCAGGGCAGGACCCTCACACACACGCTCCTCCCTCCCCTCGGTGCTCCCGCACAAATTGTGGGATGAACGCAGCAAACACCTCCTGGCAAAGCAGTTTCCCTAGAGGCTTAAACATTGATTATGAGCTCAGACTCCCTTAAGCGATTCGAGCCATAATTACATGTTTCGTGTGATGCCCCTTTGGATGCCTGACAAGCTCCAGCGGGCTTCGTTGGTGGGAACCAGCCGTGTCCTCGGTGCCAGGACAGCCCCGCCTCTGGCCTGCATCTCATGCTTGTGCACTGACTCCCCCCACGTGTGATTGGTCTTTCTCACTGGACCCATTGGTGAGATTCTACTGTGCATTCTGTCCCTGAGGAACAGTTTCCTGGGCCCAGCAGGTGAGAGATGGACCTGGGGTTGGGTCGTGGGTTCTGTGCCCAGATCCGCTTCCCAGGCAGCAGGAGCAAACTGTCGCACGCAGGGCTTCAAACAACAGGAACGTCCCAGCTCAGGAGGCCGAAAGTCCAAAATCAAGGGCCATGCTCCCTCTGGAGCCCCCGGGGAGGGGCCTTTCTGGCTGTCCGGGCTCCTGGGGCTCCCAGCATTCTGGGGCGTATGGCCACATCCCTCGGTCTCTCCTCCATCCACACCCAGCCTCTTTGTGTGTCTCCTCTGCTCTTCTTAGAAGGATCCTCGTTGTTGGAGTTAGAGCCTGCCTGGACAGTCCAGTCGCAGGTCCTGGGGGTTTCGGGTGGACACGTCTTTCGGGGCCTCTCCCACTCCTCCCAGCAGAGCTGTTGCATCAGATGCACCTTCATGGGGGAGGAAGCAGACAGCATTCCGAAGCTGTGAGGTATGAGAAGGCTCTGCTGGTGGCTCCTTTTCCTGAATCCCATCTAGCGTTCCAGACACAGAGAGAGCATTTATTCCCACAGAGAGCCCACGTCTCGTTCTCCCCTGTGTCTAATGAATTCAAACTCTTTGTTCAACAGTTATAGATTGGGAGGTTGGTGAGGGGTGGGGCAGGGGGGGCTGCCTTTGATGCTGGGCATACAGCAATGAACAGAAGAGAAGTTGCATTCTCCCAGAGTAAGACAGAGTCAGCACACACATGCCAAGGCAGAGTGCTGAGTGTCCCAAGTTGCACAATGCAGGGTAAGGGCAGGAAGAGAGCAGTTGGCAGGGCGGTGGCGGGGGGTGGGTGGTGGTGGTTCTGTTTGTGGTCAAGGAAAGGTCTTCCAATGGAGCATAACAAACAGAGGCGTCTGGGTCTATCCAGAGAAAGAGCATTCTGGGCCCAGTGACATCTGTGCAAAGGCCCTGTGGCCAATAGCATGTTTGGCTTCTCTGAGACAGCAAGGAGGAAGTCTGAGAAGCATAAGTAAGTGGAGGGTGTGGGAGGGGAAGTTGACAGAGAGAGGTCCAGACTATGCCAGGCCCTATAACCTTCGGTAAGGATTTTTGCTTTTACTTGGACTAACTGGAAAGCAGGGGTAGAAGGTTGCAACAGAGGAGAGACAAGTTCTGACTTTTGTTTGAAAAGATTCTTTGTCCTGGGCCTTCGGTAACCTCGGTAGGAGCCGCAGCACTTGGGGTGGCCCCTGGCATGTCCAGGGGAGTTTAGGCCTGGCAAATCCTGAGTGCTGGGCTCCTCTGAGGCCAAGGGTGAGTCCTGCCTCCATGAGTCATGCCGAGCTAGGCAGGGCTCTGCAGGAGCCCTGGGGCCTGGCCTCTGAACACAGTCCCCAAGCTGTCAGCCTGCTGGCTGGGCGGTGCAGGGGAAGGGGCAGGCCCTGGCAGAGACTGGTGCATGGGGAAACAGGGGCCTCCCTATAGATGTGAGTGCCCCTCTGTCCACAGAGGGTCCAGTGCCCGCCATTGGCCAGCAGTCTGTCTAGCGACTGCCTGTGAACAATCAACACCCTTCCAAAGGGGTGGCCCTGGGCAGTGCCCAGACAATGGCCATCCTTGTGGGCCCTAGGGGCCGGGCAGACCCAGACAAGACCGGGGCTCAGGTCCCAGCTGAGATCCCAGCTTCTAGCTCCGGTGGTCTGTTCTTTTGTTCCCCTCAGCCCTTCGAAGCCGTCTTTCTGCCTAGGATCCGTGTCTTTGGAGTTTTGTGTCTCTCTCTCCGCTGACCTCCCGACCCCCACTCGGCCAGAGTCTCAGGCTCCATGGCCTCAACTGTCTGTGGCGTCAAAGTTTCGGTGTGCGGGCCGCTGCGCCACAGTGTCCAGGAAGACATCCCAGCCTCCGGGGCATTGAGCTGTGGGGCTGGGGCTGCAGGGCTGAACCCCAGGGGCACCCCCAGAGCCGCTCCTACCTGCACCCAGAGACGGACTTCCCACCACAGGCAGGGCTGTGGTGCCATCTGCTGCCAGAAGCTCTGCCTTTCTCCTCAAAATCACAAAAGTAATACTTGCTCACAGAAGACACTTGGGAAAAGACTAATTTATCCATAGTCCCGCTATTCAGATAAATGTGATATTAATGCCTAGATGATCTTTCCCCATGTCTCACTAGGTACATGTGAGATCTCTAATTTTATAATACTGCCTTTTCATTCAGTATGTTAACATTTCTAGCATCTGACGATCCTTCTACTAAGTGGAAATTGTATGGATGAGACCTAACTTGTTGAGCCAACCCACTGTTGATGGACATTCAGTTTATGAGCTATTTCTTGAATATGAGTTTGCTAGATGATTACAAGAAAAGCATTCCTTTATTTTTTTAAGTGTGCACTTGAGTGGTTTTTAGTGTGATCGCAGCTACGCACACATTTTTGTCACCCCTTAAAGAAACCCATGTCCACGAGCAGTCGCTCCCCGTCTCCCCGCCGCCAGCCCCGCCTTCCCGTCTCATAGATCTGCCGCCTCTAGACATTGCACATAAACGGAGTCACACACTATGTGACCTTTCGTGAGTCGCTGGGTCACAGCCTCGTGTCTTCCCGCTTCCGCCTTGTTGCAGCGCACGCACAACCTCCTTCTACGGCTGAATAGTATTCCCCTGCGTGGATGGACCACGGATGTTGGCCTGCTCATCCACCGATGGACGCTTGGATTGCGCCCACCTTGTGGCTCTCGAGAATAGTGCTGCTCTGAACATTTGTGAACGGTATTTGTTTGGGTCCCTGCTCCCCAGTCTTCTGGGTAGAGCTGTCACTGATACTGGGGATCCTGAGTGGCGGTGGACATGGCCAACAGTGAAGTCCCCACCTCCTTCGCCTACGTGGCTCCCGGGGCAGGGACGGGAGCTGGGGGCAGCCAGGCCCCCCCCTCCATTCTCAGTGGAAACCGTGCGGCTCAGCAGGAGAGAGCCGTGGCTCATCATACAGGTCCCAGCAGAGCATGGGCACGCCCAGCCCCGCTGCCCACCGGCCCTGGCTGCTCCAAGCTCCGGCGAAACCATAAATGCTCCGAAGCGAATGTTCATTGCGTTAGAGTGCACCGGCAAAGTGCAGCCCATGCACGCCCTTGGCTGGAGGAAGGGGGTCCGTGGAGCCCTGGGGCCCGGTCAGCCCAGCCTCCCTCTGCACCGGCCGGGGCTGTCACATCTTTGTGCTTCTCAGTGGTCTCCCATCGGGGGCGTACCCCTGCCTAAGACTCGGCAGTTCTGCGCGTTTTTCTGCCGTGTGTCAGGGACCCACATGGCACGTGAGGAGCGGTGACTGGTTCCCCTCCACCTCTGTCAACTCGGCCCCTGTGTGACCACTGAGCCACCAGGGCCACCGTGAAGATCCAGCCACGTCTGTGGGCCACATGCGTGTTGTGTGGGCAGCTCCTCTTTCACGCCGATGGTGCCACGTTTTCCTTCTGAAGTTGTGGCCCAGCCCACTGGGGCCCAGCCGTGCCTCCCTCGGAGTGCGGACAGACAGCCTGGGACGCCGTGTGCGCTGAGGCAGGCCTCTGGCATGGAAAGCAGACCAACTCCCTCCCTGGAAGGAAAAGGAGATGGTGCAGGCAGCCGTTGGCCACGTTTTAAAAATTATGATGAATATTTCCAGACAGATAAAAGGCTTGCATCCATGAAACCACAGGGAGAGCATAAGTTAAACGTCAGGGGGAAAGCTGGAAGGGAAAATGAGAGAAGAAAGGAGGGGAGTGATGTAGGACTTGGACGTGCCCCTGCTGGGCCCTCGCAGCCACAGGGCAGAAGGGAGGTGTGTGTGGGGGCAGGACCCCCGTCTCCGTGACAGAGTCCCACACGTGGGGGCTTAAAACGACAGGAAGTTACCCCCTCACTGTAGGGAGGCCAGAAGTCTGAAATCTGGCAGGGCCACCCCCCTCATCCAGGGTCCTTCCTGCCTTGTCCAGCTCCCGGGGGCTGCGGGCGCCCCCCACGTCTACACCCTGTCCTGCTGCTCCTCCTCTCAGAAGGACACCTGTCACTGGGTTAGGGCCATCCAGTAATCCAAGACGACTTTCTCCTCTCTAGCTGCAAAGACCCTTTACACAAATAAGTCACATTTGCAGGTTCTAGGGGTCCAGGCTTGGGCCCATCTTTGGGGGTCCACTGTTCACCCCACTGCGTAGGGAGTAAGTAGATGAGTTGACTCCTCCGTTGGAGGAAGCCAATAGATAAGGTTAATCTGGGAGGGTGAGAAGGGCAGCCTGGCCTGAGTGTGCAGCAGGAAAGGGCAGGAGTTGAGCGTGAACTGTGGTGGATGGGGCAGGGGCTGGGTCAGAAGCCGGGCTGTGTGGCGGCCTCATCAGGGCCCGCGTGTGGCTCGGTTCTGAGTCCGGGCAGCTTGGCTCCAGGACAGAGAGAGTTTTCTTCTCACTCGTGGGCTTTCAGGCTCCAGCAGCCCCTGGCTGCCCCCCCACCCATGCACCCCGTATTTCCTTCCTCTAGCAGCGGCTCCACAGACCAGGCCAGGCTGGAGACCGCCCCCTCGGCCACAAGAGAGAAGATCCGGTCCAGGTTCCATGGCAGCCATGACCTCATCCACCGCCTGTTTGTCTGCATTTCAGGTGCCCAGCTGGGCCTGGGGCAGGCGGCGCCGGGCGGAGGGCGGGATGCGGGCGATGCCAGGCCCCGGGAGTCCGGGGGCTTCCCCACCGTCATTTCTTCATCTCCAGCCCAGGGGCGGAGAGGAGGGCTTAATTTCTCAGCAGGTTCCTCAGCTGGGATTGGGGAACCCACGGCTCCCACGGGGGCCTCGGCCACCCACACAGGGAGGTTCTGCTCAGTTTGTGGTTCAGACTTTAGTGTACCCTGCCTAGTTTTGTCTCCCTTTCTGGGGATGGCTACACAGTGGGGGAGGGGAGGACAGGGAGCTGCCTGTTTTGTCCCCCACCCCCTGGGGGGTTCAGAGGCCTGTGAGCTTTTCTTTAGTTCTGTGTATAAAAGTGTGCACTGCAGCCCCCTTCCCTGCCTCCCGCATGTCCTTCTCACCCCCACCTTTGAGGGATGGGCTCCAGCCGGCCTGCTTGGCGGGAGTGCGACCCGTGGCCTGGCGGTCCTGCAGAATCAGGGTCATGTTGGGGGGGCGAGGGCCCCACAGGCAGTGCCGAGCCAGGCCAGGTGGGACCAGGAGGACCTCGGGCGACTCTGAGCTCCAGTTTGCACAGGTTTGTGTCGGGGGTTGGAGGGATGCCATGCCCAGCAGGTGCTCGGGGCATTGACGGTGCATGGAGAATCCTCTAGAAGCGCTGACTGCAGCGCTGACTGGGACGGGTCACTGGGCTCCCATTCCAGTGGGATGCCCGCAGCTTCTCCCTCACTTTGCTGCATGTGGCAGCCAGGTCCGCCCCCAAAGAGCTAACCCAGCATCGCTTTCCACCTCTGCAGGGAGGGTGGGGGGGGTGCTTTCCTGCCAGGGAGGGGGCTGTCCGTGTGGTCACTCCCACCACCAGCCTTCCCTGGACTCCTGAGCCTTGACTTTGGCCAAACTGTGGCCCAGGGGCTGGGCGGCCCCCTTTTGCCCTGAGCCACCCGAGGATGCGTCAGTCCTGGGCCGTGAGCTCTGGCCGGGGTCACCCAGCTGGCAGCCCCGAGCCCCTGCAGCTGCTTGGCCTGACCTGCCCTCCCTTCGTCCTCCTCTCTCAGGGGTGGCTGACCAGCTGCAGACAAACTATGCCAGCGACCTGAGGAGTATTCTCAAGACCCTTTTTGAGGTCATGGCCACCAAGCCCGAAACAGACGACAAGGAAAAGTTAAAGAAGGGTGAGTGCCACCCACAGTGTGTCCGTGCCACCCCCCGGGAGCCGCACCCCCACACTGAGGGCACACGGCCCTGCACAGCCATCCATCCGGCCTTTCTGGGGCCCACTGCCTCCACACGGAACCCACTGGCACTGCCGGGCTCTCCACTAGGGACCAAGGGGCACAGGTCGCAGGTGCCCCGGAGGCTTTGCGGGGGGGCTCCCACCCCCCCCACGCACAGGCCTGTGCCTGCAGCACCTCCTGCTCACCCCTGCATGCCCTCCAGCAAGGTCACCCAACTTCTCGGGGCCAGCGGCCTGCAGGGGGGCAGTTGAGACCCAGACGCCGCATAGTCACCCCTACCGACTTCCGACCGCCAAAGCTGCCGGGGGCCAGCCCACAGTCAAGGAGGGGACCTCGGCCCCACCTTTCGGGGGGGAAGTGGCAGGTTATGACCTGTGGCCGCCTTCGACCTGCCTCACGCGTTTACACGTGCCCACACATCCCAGGCACAGATGCGCGCGCACACACGTGCACGCACGCACGCACGCACACACTCTCTCACACACCCACCCACGCACACTCTCACATGCACCCATGCGCCCGCACACACCGCACACAGTCACACACCCATACGCACACCCACACGTACACACACA